CCCAACACGCTCCCGGCCGACACGAGGCTCAGAGCAGGCACAGCCCCGGGGTCCCCCCACCCCATCTCCCACCTGGAGGGGGCCGGAGGCACCCAAAGGTACCCGTGACCCCTCCCCAGTGCCCACCACCAGCTGGTGTGGGGCAGGGGGACAGGAAAGAGCCACCATCCGAGAGAAACAGGGAAAACCAGACAGTCTCGGCTTCATGTTCTCGGAAAGCACGTCTGGAAGGTGTCCCGGGGCCATTCCCACTATCCTTGAAGAAATCCCACACCGCCAATGCCAACCTTATCTCCGCGGTGCAGGCGGGAGCCGGGACCGGTGAGTCCCGGAGCAGCGGCACCACCAGGAAAGGAGCACGGATATCTCCTCTCCCACTCCCATTTCCACTCCTCTCTCCAGCTCCCAGCACTGCCAAGCCCTCTCCCGAGTCCCCCGGCAGCCACGGTGTCCCTGCTCCAGCCGAGGGGACACTGCCCCACTTCCAGCCTTCGAAAGTGCCACCCACCACCAGCAGGCTGCTTTTTATCCCTATTTTTTCCCTTTTAATCAGTATCCATGTGTTTGACTCCCCCTCTCCGAGAGAATTACCAATTAAGATATCAATTTAGATAAATTGGGGGATTGGAGCAGATTTGTGCTGCAATTGCATCAACCCGGCAAATATAGCTGGGGTGGTGCCGGAGCCCGGAATGTGGCTGCCCAAGGAGGGAGCCTGGGACTAAAACAGGGAGGGGGAAATATCCCAGAGTCTGGAATGTGGCTGCCCAAGGAGGGAGCCTGGGACTAAAACAGGGAGGTGGAAATATCCCGAACTCTGGGAAGGGCAGTGACACCGACACCCAGGAAAGCTCCAAGGTGGATCCAACAGGTGGGAGCCCATCGCCTCAGCCCTCCCAGGGGTTGGCTCTTCCTCCCATCCCAGGGCGCTGCCAGGCTCAGTTCCGCCTTTGGATGGATCCAGTGCTGGCAAACTGCTTCAGTGGGACTGGATCCGTTACAGAAACGGACCCCAAATCCCAACATGGGGTTTCAGGGCTGAGCAGTGCATGATGCCCGAGTGATGGGCACCACCCGGAGCCATGGAAGGGCTTCCCCGTGCCTGGAGGCGCCTGGATCATCCCAAAAACTGGAACACCCCATGGTTCCAGCCCTAGATGTGGGTGACAGCCTGGCAAGGGTCTCCAGCCATCCCATCGAGGGGTTCCAACCATCCCAGCGAGGGGTTCCAGCCATCCCAGCGAGGAGTTCCAGCCATCCCATCAAGGGTCTCCAGCCATCCCAGCGAAGGGTTACAGCCATCCTGAAGAGGGGTTCCAACCATCCCATCGAGGAGTTCCAGCCATCCCCCCCCAGAGAGGGGTTCCAACCATCCCAGTGAGGGGTTCCAGCCATCCCAGCGAGGGGTTCCAGCCATCCCAGCGAGGGGTTCCAACCATCCCAGCGAGGGGTTCCAACCATCCCAGTGAGGGGTTCCAGCCATCCCAGTGAAGGGTTCCAGCCATCCCAGTGAGGGGTTCCAGCCATCCCAGCGAGGGGTTCCAACCATCCCAGCGAGGGGTTCCAACCATCCCAGTGAGGGGTTCCAGCCATCCCAGTGAGGGGTTCCAGCCATCCCAGTGAGGGGTTCCAGCCATCCAGCGAGGCACTACAGCCATTCCCACACACCACAGCAGCAGCCCAGCACCTGGAGCAGCAGGAGATGTGTCTCCACCCCGACCCGTGACGTTCCCGGCAGAGCCGAGCGCTGGGGACGTTCGCGGTGCCGGTTCCCGCTCCCGGGATTCATCCCGGGATTCCTCCCGCGTCGGGAGATGAAGGTGAGAGATGAAAGGCTGGAGGATTTCCTTACACTCAGTTTTCAGTCTGTCACTTCCCATCTCCTCCATCGGGTGCCGTGGGATCAATTATCGCTCGGCAGGCCGGGATGGAGCTGTGATATCCAGGTGCTGCTGCCGGAGACTGTGGGAATGTGACGGCGGCAGAGCCGGGCCCAGCAAGGGGCTGTGGAGCTGCCAGGACACAGGGGTGGGATTGGTGGGTGAAACCTTCCAGAAGAGCCTGGAATCAACCCTAAATGTATACTTTATATGTTGCCTATTCAGAATTTTATATAGTGCCTATTAGGAATTTTATATATAATATATAAACTTTTCAACCGCTGATGTGGAAGAGGAGGGGTAAAAGCATCACTAATTGCACTCACAGATAATTAATAACCACATAAGCAGCGCCAGGGATGAAAACACAACGGATCTACAGATGGATAAAACCCCAGAGGGAAATAAAGGGGGTGTAATGGGGGCACCCCCAGGCCGGGGGGCCTAACTCACTCCTGCAGCCTTGGGGAGACCAAAGAGGGCAGGAGGGTTGGTACCAGTGCCAGGACACAAAACCCCACCAGTTTGGAGTGCCCAAGGCAGAGGCTGGCACAGACAAGGATCCAGGACTGGCTCTGGAGCACTGGCTGCTCCAGCTCTGGGAGGAAAGGGAAGGAGAGGAGGAAAAGGGAAGCAGCTCTTCCTCCACAGCACCACGGACAGTGAGGACTGGGAATCCCACCCCACGGGGGTCTGGCAGCAGGACCAGGCACCCACAAACCCTGGCTGTGCCCTACAGGCGCAGATGATTCCAAATGCCAATCCCATTCCATAGGAACAGAGATGGACCTGCACAGACCAGAGACTTGGCTGCGATCCAGCGACATCGAGGTGCTGGGATGTGACATCAGGGAGCTGGGATGTGACACCGTGGTGCTGGGATGTGACATTGGGGTGCTGGGATGTGACATCAGGGAGCTGGGATGTGACATCAGGGAGCTGGGATGTGACACCGTGGTGCTGGGATGTGACATCAGGGAGCTGGGATGTGACACTGGGGTGCTGGGATGTGACACCGTGGTGCTGGGATGTGACACTGTGGTGCTGGGATGTGACACCGTGGTGCTGGGATGTGACATTGGGGTGCTGGGGATGTGACACTGTGGTGCTGGGATGTGACATTGGGGTGCTGGGGATCCACAGCAGGGCCCTGGCCTCGGTGGGGCAGATGCCACAGTCGGGGTGTCCCGGCAGCTCCCAGCAGCAGGAGAAGCCCCTTTCCCTGTGCCAGGGCCACGGTGCCGGTGCCGCGCTCGGAGGGTTTTGCTGGGAGGGTTTTTGCTGGGAGGGTTTTTGCTGGGAGGGTTTTTGCTGGGAGGGTTTTTGCTGGGAGGGTTTTTGCTGGGAGGGTTTTGCTGGGGGGTTTTGGGCTGGGAGGGGTTTTGCTGGGAGGGTTTTGTGCTGGGAGGGTTGTTGCTGGGAGGTTTTTGCTGGAGGGGTGTTTGCCCTGGAGGGTTTTGTTGAATGGGTTTTGCTGGAGGGTTTTTTTTGCATGGGAGAGGTTTGGGGTGGTTGGGAGGGTTGTTTGGATTGCCTGGGGGGGGTTTTGCTGGGAGGTTTTTAGCTGGGAGGGTTTTGCTGGGAGGGTTTTGCTGCACCGGCAGCGCGGCGGGGGGCAGCTCCTCTCTGCAGTCTCCTTGGAGACCGCGACCGCTCCGCAAAGACATCCCGCTCCTCCCAGCAGCGCCGGGGGGAGCAGGGCCCCCCAGGACCACCCCACGCGGCCCCCCCCGTGCCCACGTGCCGCCCGGCTCGTGGCAGCTCCATCCCCACGGTACTGACGCCAGAGGAACAGCGGGAAGAGGCTCATCTGGGAAGTTATTACTGACTCGGCGTGGACAAAACAAGGTGGCATCCTTGGAGGGAGGAATTTCCAAATCCCTGTTCCCACAGCACGCCGGGGTCACCCCGGGAGCTGCGGCCGCGGTGCCATCACCCACCGGCAGGGCCGGGCCAGCCCCGAGCCGGCCGTGCCATCTGGGATGGGAAACAGCCCCGGAAAAGGCGGGTTTGGCACAATCCTGGCACAAGTCCCCCTGTGCACGTGGGCGGGAGCCTCCTCGGCATCTCCAGAGGCGCTGGAGAAGGAGGAGGGTTGTGCCAGGAACAAGGCGGGTGCTCGGCCGGGTCCCACAGCCCTGAGCGCATCAACCACTGGGGGGAAGGAACAACAGAGGGAAGGCGGCAGCACGGAGAGAAATCCTGCCCTGAGAGCCCCCGGATGGACCCAGATCAGCTGTCACCAGGCAGTGCCCGGTTCCTGTGCCCACACCACTGCCCACAGCCCTGCCCACAGGTACTGGTGGCTCCAGAAAGGCACACAGGCATCACAGCCACATCTCAGCTCCTGGCACAGCACAGGAGCTCTGAGCAGGGTCAGGGGACTCAGCGTGTGACACAGGGATCAAACCCTGGTCCCAGCTCCTGGCACAGCCCCGGAGCTCTGAGCGGGTTCAGGGGACTCAGCGTGTGACACAGGGATCAAACCCTGGTCCCAGCTCCTGGCACAGCCCCGGAGCTCTGAGCGGGTTCAGGGGACTCAGCGTGTGACACAGGGATCAAACCCTCATCCCGGCTCCTGGCACACTCAAGGAGACTCAGCGTGTGGCACGGGCATCAGAGCCACATCCCAGCTCCCAGCACAGCACAGGAGCTGTGAAGGGGACTCAGCGGGTGGCACAGGGATCAAACCCTCATCCCAGCTCCTGGCACAGCACAGCTCTGAGCAGGGTCAAGGGGACTCAACGTGCCCAAGCCGAGCTTATCCCGGCCCTTTCATGTCGCTGCCGAGCGCGTGGCTCTGGATCCAACAGCGCCGGCTTGAGAGAGGCTCAAACCAAGGCCAGCAGAGACCAAACTGTGCAGGAACAATGCAGCCTTTTCCAAACACTTCAGTGCCCACAAAGGATCCATCAGATCCTCACGCTGCAGGTCACTGCCAGTCAGCCCCCTCGAGCCGGAGGACAGATCACGGTCACGGATGTCGGTGATCGCTGCGGCACTGGGGGTGGGCACAGCCCTCTCCCCATGGCCCCCTCCCCATGGCTCCCTCCCCATGGCCCCCTCCCCATGGCCCCCTCCCCAGAGCCCCCTCCCCACTCACGTCCCCACGAGCGTCACCTGCGCGCTGTCCCCCTCCAGCCGTGGGGGTCGGATGCTGGACAGGTGGATGGTTTTGTGGTCCCCAGAGTTGAGCTTCACCACGATGGCATCAGCGTTCAGCACCTGCATCACCTGGGGACGGAGAGGGGCCGTGGTGAGCGCCAGGACTGCGGCACACTGGGCACACCCAGAGCCAGGCACTGCCCTGGCACCGGCTCTGGCACCAGTCTGGCACCTGACCCACCCCGGCTCGACCCCCAGCACAGAGTGAGCGGTTCCAACCCCATCCTGGGTGGTGGGGGGTCACTGCAGGGAATGTGGCTCACTGGCACTCCCGTGGCGCTGCTCTCCTAGCCCAGGAGCTCAGCACTGCCCAGAGCCCTGCCAGGTCCCTGCATGGTGACACCGTGTCACACCAGCACGGCACCAGCTGTGCCTGTCCCGTGCCAGGACTCACCCCCAGGGTTTCATTCCAGAAGCACCATCGGCTCCATACCGGACAATGGACAACACACGTGGAGGAGGGAGGGAGCACAGCCCGTGGGGGGGACTCTGCCACCCATGGCCTGGCTGCCGGGTCCCCAAAGGGTCAGGGAGCAAACTCATTATAGTCATAAAACCATGGAATCCTAGAATGGTTTGGGTGGGAAGGAACCTTAAAACCTCACCTGATTTCAGCCCCTGCCATGGGCAGGGACACCTTCCACTAGCCCAGGTTGCTCCAAGCCCTGGCCAACCTGCCCTTGGGACACTTCCAGGGATCCAGGGGCAGCCACAGCTTCTCTGGGCAACCTGGGCCAGGGCCTGCCCACCCTCCCAGCCAGGAATTAGGCACTGGAAGGGGTTCTCAGGTCTCCCTGGAGCCTTCTCTCCAGGCTGGACACTCGCAGCCTGGCTCCAGAGCTGAGGGGGCTGAGGCAAGCAGGAGGAAGGCAGTGGGGTTCACTGGGAATATTAAACACTGCTTTAATATTCCCAGTTTCCATTACCCTCTGCTCTCCAGCCTGGCCGAGTGGAGCCAGCACAGCAGGACAAAGTACTCGGATATTCCCACTGGCAGGGCATGGTCCTTTCCCCTGCCCTGTCCCAGCACAACCCGACTCCCTCCAGTCACACCAGGGCAAAAGGCTCCTGCTGTCGCTCATCCACGTGATCCCAGCCCCACACATCCCCCTGGAGCCCGGGGGAAGCGAAGGGAGGAGGGCACAGATTTGCTTCACACGCAGCACTTTTTGCCCCAGCAAGCACATCAGCCCCTCCAAACGTGCTTTGCCAGAGGGAAAACAGGACTAAAGGAATTCAGATTCGAGCAGACACTGCGGATCACCAGGGCACAGCAAACCCCCCGGGGACGGCCCTGCCACGGCCTCGGCCTCTCCCGGCACCCAGATCCTTGATTTCTCCTCGGCACAAGGAGCCCAAAGCCGTTTTCCTGCCAAGTGGAGTAATCAAATCTCATGCTCCAGGGCATCCCCAGCGCTGCCGGCGCGAGGAGGGACCCGGCCTCTCTCCCTTCCCTCACACAAGACTTGGGAAAAGCAAGATGTGCAGCCGAGGCGTCACAGGCAGGGCCGGGCGCGGGGGCACATCCCGCGCTCCATAGCACAGCCCCGGCCCCCGCTCACAGCTCCTTTGTGCGCGGGCAGGAGGCGGCAGCTCCCGGCACCGCGGCCCCGGCACGGCCCCGCATCCCTGCGGGAACAGCAGCGGGCTCTGCCTGAGCCCCTCCGGCCCCCGGCACGGCCTCGCATCCCTGCGGGAACAGCAGCTCACTGGCTGAGCCCCTCCGGCCCCCGGCACGGCCCCGCATCCCTGCGGGAACAGCAGCTCACTGGCTGAGCCCCCCCGGCCCCCGGCACGGCCCCGCATCCCTGCGGGAACAGCAGCTCACTGCCTGAGCCCCGGCGGCCCCTCCCTGGCAGAATGAACTCGCAGGACCTCGCACCGGGATGACCCGGCTGTGATGGGGCTCTGCAGGACACGGGGTGCAGCAGGACAAGGGATGCAGCAGATAAGGGGTGCAGCAGGACATGGCAACTGGAGCTGGAGCTCCCAAGGGATGCCAGTCCCAGGCAGGACAGAGCAGGGTGGCAGCAGCTAAGAGAGACCCCCAGGTGTCCCCCTCTCCTTGGGCATCTGCTCCTTTCCTCTGGGCAGGCACCACAGGGAGGGCAGGAGGTGCCCTGTCAGCCCTCCGTGGGGACACCGTGGGCAGGGGGAGACACGGTGCCAGTGGTCACAGAACTGGCAGGAGGTGCCCTGTCACCCCTCCCTGGGGACACTGCGGGCAGGGGGTGACACGGTGTCAGTGGCCACAGAACGGGCGACTCAGCCCCGCGCCGGGGGCCGTTTGTCTTCCAGCACTTCCCCAGCCCGCTGCATCCAGCTTCCTTTATCCAATATTTATTGTGGCTTCACCTGCCTCCGAGAGGCCCTTTGATAAAGGGATTGGAGGGATTATTTTTTTAAACCTCTGCAGCTGTTTCTTGCAGAGCCGGCACGTTCCGGCGCTGCTTCCCAATCCCGTGGGACACGGCCCTCACCCACGCCGGGAGCAGGCAGGGGAGGCCAGGGATGCTCCTGAGGGCAGGGGGGCTCCGGCCCCCACTGCCAAACCCCAGCCAGACTGGACCCCCTCATCCCATCACCGCTCCCCACGGAAAGAACATCACAGCAGTGCCTTGTCCATATTTACCATGGAAGACGTTTTTTTCCTTACTGCAAGAGTTGATCCCACCAAAGTTTCCAATTTTCCACCCCAGGGCTTTGCTCAGCCCCACTACTGGGGAGCACAGAGGGCAGGAGAGCTGGTACCCCTCTCCTGGGGGAGCACCCTCTCCAGGATGCACAGGGAGCATCCCCAAAGCTGGGGGTGACCTCCCACACCCTGACTATGGACAACAGGGACAGCGGCACTTTGGAAGCTGGTGCCCAGTTCCGGGAGAGGGGCAAGTGCTGTCCCCCCTCCCTGCCTCCTGAGGGGTTTTGGCAGGTCTGGTGTTCAGCTCAGCTCAGGAACAGCCCCCGGGCTCGGCCCTGGCAGATCCCACCGAGCTCCGCCATGATTTGGCCACGACCAAGGCTCCAAGCAAAGGGAATAAAAATAAAGATGAAAGGACACGGGCACAGCTCACCCCGATCCACCGGCGCGTGGCAGGACGGGATGCAGAGCCTGGCTGCGGCCGAGGGGCTGCCCAGGGAGCCCCCCCGGACCCCGAGGGGGCCGATCCTGCCCCGCAGCAGGGAATGGGATGACGCAACCCCCCCGAGCCCCGGCACAAAGCCGTGTTCTAACCAGCTCTGGCAGAGCCTGGCTCTCAGCCTAATGTATTCCACTCTCCGCAGCGCTGTCCCAAATCCCCGCGTGCTCCAAGACAAGCTGACGTAGGGATTTTGGGAGAAAGCCTCCAGCCTCCTCAACATTTTTATGCCTCTGCTTTTCTCCTTGCCACTCACAGGCACCAAACCCACAATCGAGGCCAAGCCTTAATTTCTCCCCAAGCCCACCCCTGCGCTCCCAGCGCCGGCAGCCGACGGCAGCGGGAGCCAAAATTAGCCGGAGTCGATTCGCCGCGGTCGATCAGCGGTGCAAAGACAGGTTGGGATCTTCCTCCTCCTCCTCCTCCTCCCCTCACCAACCCCCTCCAGCAGCTCCTACGTCAGCTCTGCCGCTGCAAACGAGCACCATCGTGCCGAGCACGGAGGCGGCTTCGGCGCCGGAGCGATTCCTGCCCACCCGCTCCCTGCCCGTCCCCGGGGGCTCAGACCCCTCCACGGGCACGGGGAGGACAGACGGGAGCTCAGGGAGCCCCTGGGGAAGCCGGGCACGTGCCCAGCTGCGGGTTCAGCTCTGGCCCTCGGAGGCGTGTGGGCATTTGTCCTGATTTTCCCTGTCACTTAAAATTCCGGGGAACGGAAAAACAAACACCCGACCCAAAATTGACACTGCAAACAGCGCGCCCGGGGGGGCTGCGGCGCCGGCCCCCGGCCCCCTGATTGGCACAGGCCTGCACAGAGCAGGTTTGAACAGAAAGGCGGAGAAACGCCTTGTCTCCTCCCCGAAAAGCAGGACGCGGTGTTCGCTGTGCCTGGGGGGCTCCCACCGCCGAGCCAGGGCAGCCAAACCCCGCTGGAGTGGAACCGGGAGAGCTCCAGACCGGGGGCAGCCCGGCAGAGCGAGGGGCTGTGCCCAGAACTGGGGGGGAATCCTGCCTGCTTTGCTCTGGGACACACAGCGGGGTCCCCCCTGCACGTCGGGGTTCCCTCTGCTCCATGGTACCAGGGTTGGATTCCCACCACTCCCAGGGCAACGGTTATCCTGTGGATGGATTCCCACCACTCCCAGGGGGAGGGTTGCCCGGGAGTGGGTTCCCACTGCTCCGAGGGGGACGTTCCTCCAATGGGTTGGAGATGCTGCCGAGCTCCAAACCCACCCCAGACACCCCCTTGCCGGGGGCCTCAGGGCGGGACCCTCCCTCCGCAGCCACCCCAGCCCGCACGAGCCATCCAACAAAACAACAGGCATCTGGGAAATGCCAGGAGCATCCAGCCGCCCCCTCCACCAGCTGAGCCGTGACTAACGGCCCCGTGCCGGCTCCTGGCGCGGCTCCGGCGGCAGCCGCTGCCAGCGCTGCGATGGCGCTTCCCGGCGTGCCAGCGCCGGCACACGGCCGGCCCCGTGCCCACGGGGCACCCGCCCGGGGCTCCTCTGGCACCGCCATCGCAGCCCCTTGGGAGGGACCAAGCAGGTCCTTATCCCTAGGGACGGGCTCCCAGAGACCCTCAGGGTTTGGCGTTCCGGCCGTGTCCCTGCGCCCTCGGGCTGGCTGAGCAAACCCTGCCCTGGCTGAGCAAACCCTGCCCTGGCTGAGCAAACCCTGCCCTGGGTGAGCAAACCCTGCCCTGGCTGAGCAAACCCTGCCCTGGCTGAGCAAACCCTTCCCCCTGCCCTGGGTGAGCAAACCCTTCCCCCTGCCCTGGGTGAGCAAACCCTTCCCCCTGTCCTGGGTGAGCAAACCCTGCCCTGGGTGAGCAAACCCTGCCCTGGCTGAGCAAACCCTTCCCTGGGTGAGCAAACCCTGCCCTGGGTGAGCAAACCCTGCCCTGGGTGAGCAAACCCTTCCCCCTGCCCTGCCTGGGGAAGCTGGTGGGAAGATTTTGGGGAGCTCTGCTCCTGTCCAGCCACACCTGAGCCATCCGAGTTAACACGTGAGCCAGCACCTCCCCAGCCTCATCCCAGCGGACACGAGCCCACAGTGCCACACGGATCAGGGTCAGCCCGGTGCTCCACATGGATGAGACCGGACCAGCTGCAAGAGCTCCTGCTTTTGTCCCGCTCGGCAGCTCCAGAGCTCTGCTGCTGCTGCCCCGTTCAACCTCAGGCATTCAGGAGCCCCCCAGGAGGCAGGATCCCATTCAGGAGCCCCCCAGGAGGCAGGATCCGAACCTGCGCAGGGACAAGGCTGACTTTCCAAGAAATGTGGCTGCTGCACATTCCCATGGAAATTCCAGCCGAAGGGAGCCCGCGGCTGCTGTGCTGGGTGATCCGGCAGCACCATCTAGTGGGGCTGCTCCCTGCATCCTGCCCGGGCCCCGCAGCCCCCACAGCCCTCACAGCCCAGGTGAGAGGCTCCTCCATCCCACCTGGGATCACCCCCACGCAGCTTCATCCGCCTCCCACATCGGCTGTGCCCTCCAAACCACAACGGGGCAGGAATATCATGGCATCCACGTGCCAGGAACACAGGCAGGGAACACCTCAGCTCCCCACAGACCCTTCAGCACCACACCAGCACCCCCCAGGAGTGGGGCTCAGCAGCATCTCCAACTCATGGGACAACAATCCCCCCAGGAGCAGTGGGAATCCACTCCCAGGGCAACCATCCCCCTCAGAGCAGTGGGAATCAATCCACGGAGCAACCATCCCCTGGGAGTGGGCTGTGCTGTGACACTGTGCAGGGCGAGAGCATCCCTGTGGCCCCGAGGGCCGGAGCGAGGTGCCAGGGCACCACCAGCCCGTCCCTACCACCCTCAGCCCTTCCCCCTGCGGCTCCTTCCCTTCTCCTTTCACCTCCTCCCACCCCAGGCCTGCCGGAGACCCCGGCGTGCACCCGGCTGGTCGTGCACCACAAACCCTCTGGGGTTTGTCCAAGCCCATGGAGAGGCCAGATCAGGAGCTGGGCACCCGCCCCCCACCCCCAATCCCGGACTGTCCCTCCCCAGCCCCGCCCGGCTCTTCCTGCCGCTCACCTTGGCCACGAACTGCTTGTCCTTCTGATCCAGGTTTGCCGTGGGGGCCACGTAGTCCCTCCAGATCCTCAGTTTGCGCTCTTTGGCGAACCTGCAGGGGAGGGGACAGTGGGACACGGGGGTCCAGCAGGGACGGACGTGCCGGGGGTGACACTGCCCAGCAAAGCCCAGGCCGGGGCAGCGGAGCTGGAGAGGACTCGCAAGGGGAGATCACATCAATCCCACCCTGGAGAGCACGGGGTGACCCCCCCAGGCTGGGGAGGCCCCTGGGAGCAGGTGGGAGTGGCCCAGCCCAGCCCCAGCCCAGCCCCACCTCTCGGCCGCGCGCAGCTTGTCGGCCCCGCGGGTGTACACGGCGATGGACCAGTCCACGCAGCGGGCAAAGCCCTCCTTCAGCAGCAGCTCCGTGATGTTCCCGTTCTGGGGAGGAGGCACAGGGTCAGCACCAGGAATGTGGGGTTAGACACCCACCCTGTCCCTGCCCCGCTGCGAGGGGGGAGCTCGTGCAGCCCCCTGTGCAGCCCCTTCCACGTCACCGGTCACCAAACCACTGTGAGGTCTGACCACAGCTCCCAGTGCTAGTGGAGAGCACCCCAGTGACACCCACAGGCCTCAGCTCTCCTCAGATGGACCAGAGTCTCCCACATCCACCAGGAAAGAGCCCACGACCCCCAGTTCCCCCACAGGGAGCACCAGGAGCAACCCCCTTTAGCGTCTCCAGCAGCGATGCCTGACAGCCACCAGGACCCTGCCCCTCCCTGGCCCCCCAGCCCCACTTGCCGGGTGCAGGATGGTGCCCAGGATGTTCTGGTTGTGGCAGCTCTCCAGGACAATCTGCACATCCCTCTGCAGCAGCCGGGACTCCGTGAAGAACTTGGCCTCGGCCGCAAACGGCTCCGGGACCTCGGGAGCGTCGGCCTCGCGCTTGAACGTGGGGCACTGTGGCACAGGGGACAGGCAGGGCATGGGGGACAGGCAGGGCATGGGGGACAGGCAGGGCATGAGGTCAGTCAGGGCACAGGGGACAGGCAGGGCACGGGGGAGAGTCAGGGCATGGGGGAGAGTCAGGGCACGGGGGAGAGTCAGGGCACAGGGGAGAGTCAGGGCACAGGGGACAGGCAGGGCATGAGGTCAGTCAGGGCACAGGGGACAGGCAGGGCACAGGATGGCCACTAAAACCTCGGGAAGGGGACGGGAAACCTCCCTGGGGAGGGGACTGCACTCTGCCCCGTGCTCAGGGTGTAGTTTGGGGGCTGTGATGGGGGTCTGTGTGTCCCGGTGCTTCGAGCTGTGTTCCACTGACACAGCCCTGCAACTGCCCCAGCAAACACTGCCAGCAGCAAACTGGGATACAGGGACCAGCTCCAGCTCTGGGGTGCCGGGATAAGGACGTGGAGCTGCTGGAGAAAGTCCAGAGGAGACCCCGGAGCTGCTGCCAGGGCTGGAGCCCCTCTGCCCTGCAGCCAGGCTGGGAGAGCTGGGGGGGTTCCCCTGGAGAAGAGAAGGCTCCAGGGAGAGCTGAGAGCCCCTGGCAGGGCCTAAAGGGGCTCCAGGAGAGCTGGAGAGGGACTGGGGACAAGGCCTGGAGGGACAGGACACAGGGAATGACCAGAGGGCAGGGTCAGATGGGATATTGGGAAGGAATTGTTGGCTGGGAGGGTGGGGAGGCCCTGGCCCAGGTTGCCCAGAGAAGCTGTGGCTGCCCCTGGATCCCTGGGAGTGTCCAAGGGCAGGTTGGACGGGGTTTGGAGCAACCTGGGCTGGTGGAAGGTGTCCCTGCCCATGGCAGGGTGGCACTGGAGGGGTTTTAAGGTTCCTTCCCACACAAACCATTCCATGAACTCCCAGCATAATCACAACCAGGGTGCCCAACAGCCCAGAGCTCGGGCTCTGCCTGGCCTGGCAGCACAGAGCCAGTCCCCATCCAACCCAAACTGTCCCCATCCCCATGGTGACACCCAGGGCTGCACCCAGCCCGGTACTGCAGGCGACAAGGCTGTCCCTCCCTCCCTCCCTCCCTCCCTCCCTCCCTGCTCCACCCCCCTGAGCTGGGCAGGGACCGGAGCAGCCCCTGCCCTCCTGCCAGGCCCTGGAACGCTGGTGACAATCACAGACCGTGCTGCAGGGAGGGCAGCGGGGCCCTGCCAGGGCCGGGGCTCACCTTGATGCCCGAGAGCATGACGGTGACCAGGTAGTAGTCTGGCAGCAGCAGGGCCCTCACCACGCTGCCGTCCCGCACGTGCTCGATGATGGCTGCGGAGGAGGCACGCGTCGGTGCCCGGAGCCCGGGGCTGTGGGAACAGCTCCGGGCACGGGCAGCCGGTCCCCGACACCACGGGCAGCAGAGGGTGGAGGACACGGTGCCCCCGTGCCCTCCTGTCCGGTGCCACCTTACCATTGACTGGCTTCTGGTGCAGGGAGTCCACGAAGTGCCGGGGGTTCTCGATGGTGTACTTGAGGTCCCGCACGGTGTGGGACCCCGTGCCCTCGCTCCACATCCCCTTCTTGGCGCTCTTGGCCTGCTCCTCCAGCTCTGCCAGCCGGCTCTGCTCGGGGCTGAGGGCACAGGGACACGGAGTGAGGCTCCCGCGGGGTTTATCCCGGGAACATCCATCTCCCGGGTGCTTCCCTGCTGTGATCGCTCCCAGCCCCACTGCCCGGGTGAGCAGTGACACACCAGGAATCACACCGGGGATCACCCCGGGAATCACCCCGGGAATCACCCCGGGAATCACCCCGGGGATCACACTGGGGATCACACCAGGAATCACACCGGGAATCACACCGGGAATCACCCCGGGGATCACACTGGGGATCACACCAGGAATCACACCGGGGATCACCCCGGGAATCACCCCGGGGATCACACCGGGAATCACCCCGGGGATCACCCCGGGGATCACCCCGGGGATCACACCGGGAATCACCCCGGGGATCACACCGGGGATCACACCGGGAATCACACCGGGAATCACCCCGGGGATCACCCCGGGAATCACACCGGGAATCACCCCGGGGATCACACTGGGGATCACACCAGGAATCACACCGGGGATCACCCCGGGAATCACCCCGGGGATCACACCGGGAATCACCCCGGGGATCACCCCGGGGATCACCCCGGGGATCACACCGGGAATCACCCCGGGGATCACACCGGGGATCACACCGGGAATCACACCGGGAATCACCCCGGGGATCACACCGGGAATCACCCCGGGAATCACACCGGGAATCACCCCGGGGATCACCCCGGGGATCACACCGGGGATCACACCGGGAATCACCCCGGGGATCACCCCGGCACCATCCGTGTGGGAATGGGGGCTGGGAGCACCATCTCCCACACACTGGGGGCACCGAGCCCATGGGAACCTTCCAGAGGCTGCCTTTGAGCGCCACGATGGAAAAGCAGCAGCATTCCCGACCCCCAGCAGGGCAGGGCAGGTTCAGGAGGAGGGATGGCAAACCCGGGCACGTGCTGTGCCAGCCCACGGACCAGCCCAGTCCTGCACACATAGGTGGCCACTGAAGGGCCACCAAAGGGCCACCAAAGCGGCAACTAGTGTTGACATCAGCCCTGCCACGCGCTGTCACAACAAATTCAGGGATATTTAACACGTTGCCCAGAGAAGCTGTGGCTGCCCCTGGATCCCTGGAAGTGTCCAAGGCCAGGTTGGACGGGGCTTGGAGCAACCTGGGCTGGTGGAAGGTGTCCCTGCCCATGGCAGGGGTGGCACTGGATGGGCTTTGAGGTCCCTTCCACCCAAACCATCCTGGGATTCCCTGATCCTACAAACGAGGCTGGCCCTGCCCTGGAACTGACCCACACCTCTGGAATGGGATCCCAGGTGCAGGACAAGGGGCAGGAATGTCACCACCACCTCTGCAGCAGGAATTAAAGCACCTCAACTCCACACCAGGTGTGACTGTACAGAGACCAAGAGCTCCAGAAGATTCCCTGCTCCGCAGCCCCAGGACACAGCTCTGGCACTTTGGCATCCCAGGAAAGGAGCCAGTCGGGTCCTCCTGCCCAGCCCCTTCCCACACCAACCCCAATGGGACACTGTGCCCCTGGGAATGCCCGTGGAACCCGGGCACCACAGGGAGCTGGGCAGCAGGGTCTGGTGCCAGGCCAAAGCCGAGGGACCCAAGGGCTCCGTGCCTGGAGAACCTCGGGACGGGAGGACCTCGGGATGGGAGAACCTCGGGATGGGAGGACCTCGGGATGGGAGGACCTCGGGATGGGAGGACCTCGGGACGGGAGGACCTCGGGACAGGAGGACCTCGGGATGGGAGGACCTCGGGATGGGAGCCCCGCACGTACTTGTTGGCCCGGATCCCTTCCCGACGGGAGGCGAGTCCTTCGGCCACCAGGGACTCGGCGATGTTCTCACCACTCGTGTCTGTGGAGAGAGCAGAGCACTCAGGGAGAGCAGCCACTGGCACACAGGGCAGCCCAGAGGGACACGGACCTCAGTCCTGGCAAGCATTCCCAAGGTGATCCCAGGTAGGAAGTTGCTGGAGCAATCCCCAGCTGGAGCCTCACGCAGCTGCCACACAGCTGCCAGGGAAACTGTCACAGTGTTCCCACATTTATAGCATTTAAACCCTGACAAATTTCATCAGGAAACATTTTCTGCCTCATTTCCCCCTCCTCGCCTGCCAGGCTGGGCTGAAACAGGGATGGAGAGGCCCTGGCAGCCGGAGAGGCTGCACAGGGATGAGGCAGCACCACAGAGCCAACAGCAAAACCTTCTCCAGCTTTTTTGTGTCCCAGACTGTGTCTCCAGGGCCTGCCCAGGCTGAAGAGTTGCTCTGGGGGGAAGTGGAGAGCAGCAGCTCTCCAAAATCAAAGGCTGGTCTCAATCCTGGAGGTCTTTTCCAACCTAAAGGACTGTGATTCCAATCCCTGCTTCTCCAGGGGGGATCCCCATCCCAAAGGGCTTCCCAGACCCCCAGCAAGCTGGAAGCTCAGGAATGAATCACAGAATGTCCTGAGCTGGAAAGGACCCACCAGGATCATGAGTCCAACTCCTGGCCCTGCACAGGACACCCCAGGATCCCACCATGTCCCCGAGAGCCTTGTCCAAGCATTCCTTGAGCATGGAGATAACTTTGATATCCAGGTACTTGTGGTCTCAGGGGACCTGGCAGCTCATAGGGTCCCATTCCCCTTTCCTGCAGCCTGGGGACCACGGGGGTCTCATGTTCCTGTGCTGGAGTGGGACCCCAGGGGGACACAGGAGATGCTGCCTGAGTGTGCTGGATGTAGCGGCCACGGGAATCCAGCTCTGGAATGCCCTCACAGCAGCCAGGTGCTGGCGGAAAGGGGGTCCAAGCAGGCTATTGCCCACCCTAGCCACATCCAACTGAGCCCCAAATCCTCCAAGGAACAAGCTCCAGCCTCCCAGGGGGCTGTGGGCCACGGGCACACCCACTGACCCTCTGTGGGGTGGATCCGGGTGCCACAGAGCTGATGGCTGGTGATCCTCATCCTGCCTGGGCCCAGAGGAAGCCTCTGCCCCCACCATGGGCCACCCCCTTCCTTCCTGGGCCTCCAGGAAACCCCCACTGCTCCAGCCGTGCTGCTGCCTCAGGAAAAGCCCTGGATGTGGCCACGAGTACAATCCAGCCAGGAGAGCCAACCTCCTGCTCCCACTGTGGGAAAGGCTCCTGTAGTGGTTTGAACTCCAAGTAGTGGTTTGGCTCCCAAGTGCCACAGCCATGCCAGGAAAGGCCCTGAGTGCCACAGGCAGCATACCTGGAGACCAGGATGCCTCATGGCACCCGCTCACCCTCTCCAGCCCATCCCTGGATGGCAGCAGAGCCCACAGGGATGTGGGGCCGAGGGCACCCAACCTCCCCAGTCTGTCCCAGGGCTCTGGGGACACCGCCCCAAAATTCAGCAGCCCCCAAGCTCCTTCCCAGCCCTTTGCCCGCTCCTGGTCCTTCCCTCCTTCCCCATCCACAACTAGAGGCCCCTGGGCCCCCCATGGGACAGGAGCTGTGCCTGAGCCCTGGCTGTATCCCAAATATCCCACTGAAGGCACATGGGTCACTTGGGGCATCCACTGCCCCAGGAACTGGGAGGACCAGCTGGGTCCTGGTGAGCATTCACTTCCCAGGAACCCACCCATGCCGAGATCTCCTCCCCCTTCTGCAGTCCTGGGGGAATTCTGAGCAGGAGCAGAGCTGGCAGCAGGATGTGGTCACCTCCAAGCCTCTCTCCCACCAGCCCGGGCGATGGCTGAGGGGCAACCACAGGGAGTGGGAGCCCCAAAACCCATCCAGGGGAGCTGCTTCCTCTTGGGAATCTCAGCCACAGACAAGCAAGGGATTTATAACAACAAAAAGGACGGAAAAGGGAAACCTGTGGGAATTCACCCGATGCCCGTGTGCCTGGAGCTCCGGAGAGCATGGCCATGCTCCGGCTCTGCACCACGACCAGCACTGGGCACCACTCTCCTCCCAGAGCTGGGGCCCATGGAAAAGTGGGAATGCATCCTTCTGCTGCCTACAGTGCATCCCAACACCTCCACTGTCCCACTCCGTCCCCCTTGAAGAAGTCACAGGTGGTTTTCCAGCTGGGTTCATGCTAAAGAACCCCCTCAGCTGAGCCCAGGAAAGCTCCTGGGGCAGAGGGAGCAGGGCTGGACCTCGCTCCCCTCCAAACGCTGGGTGTTCGTGGAAAAGCGATGGAAAAGTGGGAATGCATCCTTCTGCTGGCAGTGCACCCAACCCATGCCCTGGCTGCCCCCCCCGGTCCTCCCCTCGCCCTCCCCCAGCCCCCCAGCTCACCTTTCCCCAGGTACACCATCCCATACTCCCCAGCCCCCCCAAGGCTCACCTTTGCCCAGGTTACATACACCCATCCCATACTCCCCCAGCCCCCCAGCTCACCTTTCCCCAGGTACACCATCCCATACTCCCTTACCCTCCCCAGCCCCCCCAGGTACACCATCCCATACTCCCCCAGCCCCCCCAGCTCACCTTTGCCCAGGTACACCATCCCATACTCCCCCAGCCCCCCCAGCTCACCTTTTCCCAGGTACACCATCCCATACTCCCGGCCCTGTGGGGTCTTGTACTCCACGGTGAAGCAAACCTCCTTCCCGATGAGCTTCTTCCGCAGGAACTCCCGGGCCGGGAAGCCCCAGGGCTGCAGGGGAAGCAGTGCCCGTGAGCAGGAGGGGAACCCAGAGCCCCCCCGGGGGCTCCTGCTCTGCTCCACGTGTGCTCCAGGGCTGTGCCAGAGGGCTCACGGGGGCATTTCCAGCTGGGCTCGTGCTCCCCAAAAACCGAGCTGAGCCTGGGAGAGCTCCTGGGGCAGCGGGAGTGGGGCCGGAGCCACCCCGGCTCCCACGGACACCCCGGGGGCTGTGCAGGAGCCGTGGGGAAGGAGCAGGGCGGGACGTGCCCGCCGGGGGGAGCGGGGCTGTGCCAGGGGGCTCTGCCGGGGGAGAGGGGCTCTGCCGGGGAGCGGGGCTCTGCCGGCCCCCCGTGCCCAGCCCCGGGAAGGCTCCGAGCCCCGGGAGCTCAGCCCCGCTCCAGCAGCGGGTGGGCGGGAGCGCGGGCCGGGGGAGGGAACATGACGTGCTCATAAACAATTAGCGAAGCTGACAGGCGTAATTTTTGAAAAGAGTGACATTTAAAGGCTGTTTGGAAGACAAAACTCCCCAGGGAGAGCAATTAGCTGCCAGCGCTCCACACCACCCCCGGGCTGGCAGGAGGGGGGCCGGGGCCGGCGGGGTGGGGGGCCGGGCCGGGGTCCCTCTGGCACGAACCTGCTGCTCCCGGTCCTGCTGCACCCCCTTCCTGTCCCAAACCAGCACCCCCCGGTCCCAAAGTAACACCCTGCATCCCAAACCAACCCACCAGCGTCCCAAACACCCCCTACGCCCCAAACCAGCCCCCTCAGGTACCAACCAACCCCTCTGTGCCCCAAACCAACTTGCCACATCCCAAATCAACCTCCCCATACCCCAAACCAACGTGCCCGCCCCAAATCAAGCCCCCGTGCCCCAAACCAACCCCCTCGAGCCCCAAACCAACCCCTTCGTGCCCCCCTCATCCCGTCCCGGGCACGTGTGTGACCACAGAGTGGTGAGGAAGGAGAAATTCACCCCAAAATCCACCCTGGGGGGGCTGGAGCAGGGAAAGGATCGTTTGAAAGGCTGAGTGAAGGGCTGTTTCACCCTGTCCCCCCCAGCGTCCCCCATGTCCCCAGGCCAGAGGGACCTGCCCGTGCCCGGTGGCAGCAGTTTGGGCAGGGGCAGGGGCAGGGGCAGTGCAGCTGAGGGGGGTGTGCAGCAGCCCTGAGCCCCGGGGCAGCCCCAGGGCAGCACCCACCTCGTCGGGGGTGTCCTTGGCGTCGGGCTGGCCGGGGGCCCCGCGCCGGGCCAGGTTCCCGGCTCGGATGTTGCTGAGGTTGATCTGGCGCTCGGGGGGGGGCCCCCCCCGGGGCTGCCCCCGCACGATGATGGCACAGCCCGACAGCACCTGCGGGGACAAGGAGGGGTCACGGGGGGCCCCCAGACCCGGCGGGGGCAGCCGGAGGGGGCCCGGGGCCAAGAGCACGGAGAGGAGATGCTGCATGGACAGACAGAACACAGGGATCCATCCCGGGAACTCCACAGTGTCCCACGGCCCGGAGAGTCAGGAGCTGGCTCAGGTTTCCTGCTTGGAGATGCAGGATGGAGCCAAGGGCCATGTCCTGGGCTCATCCCCAGCAGGAGAGGAGGGATCCTGCCCCTCTCAGGTGAGACCCCCCTGCAGAGCTGCCTCCAGCTCTGGGGGCCCCAGGATAAGGACGTGGAGCTGCTGGAGAGAGTCCAGAGGAGGCCCCGGAGCTGCTGCCAGGGCTGGAGCCCCTCTGCTCTGGAGCCAGGCTGGGAGAGCTAGGGGGGTTCCCCTGGAGAAGAGAAGGCTCCAGGGAGAGCTGAGAGCCCCTTGCAGGGCCTAAAGGGGCTCCAGGAGAGCTGGAGAGGGACTGGGGACAAGGCCTGGAGGGACAGGACACAGGGAATGGCTTCCCAGTGCCAGAGGGCAGGGATGGATGGGATATTGGGAAGGAATTGCTGGCTGGGAGGGTGGGCAGGCCCTGGCCCAGGTTGCCCAGAGCAGCTGTGGCTGCCCCTGGATCCCTGGAAGTGTCCAAGGGCAGGTTGGACGGGGCTTGGAGGTGGGAGGTGTCCCTGCCCACGGCAGAGGGGTGGAATGAAATGACCTTTAAGGTCCCTCCCCATCCAAACTATTCCATGATTTTAAAAGATTCACAGCAGGAACTGTCAAACATCCCCTTCCCTCCTTTGCAGCACAATCACACACAGGGTGCTCTCAAGAACTTGGAAAATCAGGATTTCACTCCCGGTGCTGCCCTGCCAGATGAGCCCAGCCGGGCCATCCCACCTTCCAGGTTTCCTCACGTTCTCCATCCCCACACAGACCCCAGGCCAGCAGTGGCACAGCCAAGGTCTCAGCCAGGCTCCCAGCCAGGCAGGCCGAGCGTGCCGGGATCTCCCTGTTCCCGCTGGGATCGGCGCTGGCTCCCGGCACGCAGGATTGATGCTGCCAGATCCAACCCCTGCGTTGGGTTTCGGCGTGTGCCCTGGCCTGCTGCCACCCCAGATCCCCACGGATGCTCGGGGTGCATCCCAAAGCCCTCTGGCTCTGTCCCTGTCACCAGAGCCAGCCCGGCCCCGGGCCAGGGACACCGGCTCGCGCCGAATCCCTCCGGAACGAGCCCCACTGCGCCCACCCCGAGGGTCTGCGTGCCCCACACACCACACTTGCTGCCCCCCACCATCTCCTGCGTGCCTGGACTCCGGCAGAGCCCGGGATGCTGCACGAGCCAGCGGGAATCGAGCTGGAAGTGAATCCCAAGCCGCACCCAGAGTGATGCCGGCACAGGCTCAGCGCTCCGTACTTAAGGACTTAGAGGTTTCATGGCTGTAATTAACCTTAATCTTTCATTTATAGGGCATGGGGAGGCCAGGGGATGCTGCAGCTGCTTGGTTCAATTACTGACACAAACCCTGGATCCCGGGATGGGATCCGGTGTCCCACAGCCCATGCAGTGCTTTGGGGGGACATGGACACCCGACATCAGAGCCTCGTGTCCCCGTGTCCCCGTCCTGCCCAGGGAGCACCCACACTGTCCATCTGTCACCCACACACTGCCCGTCCAGATCCCGGCTGGGGAGCTGCTCCAGGGATTGGGCAGTGATGGGATCAGGACAGGTCACCCACCCAGGTGTCACTGTCCCCCCTGCCAGCCCCAGCCACGCTCCTCCTCACCGGCAAAACCATCCCACTCCCACCCGCCGAGGGTGGCAAAACCATCCCACTCCCATCCCACCCAGCCCTGCCGAGGGCTCCCTCAGAGAAACCTGGGCCTAAACCAGGCTGGAAAAGGGGCGCTCCAAGGCCAGGACACAGAACAGGGACACGGGTTGGATGGGCTCTGGAGACGGCCTCGCACATCCCGGGAGTGGATGGCACCGGGGTCGTGCCAGCATAGCCAGGGTCCAGAGCTGCCCCCGTGGGGCACAAAGGGGTAAAATCCCTGGCAGGAATGGGAGGGAAGCTCCTGCTCTTCACCCATCCTGGTCCTGCTGTGATTCCAGGGCAAATGTGCATCAGGAGCCCCAAAGCCTCAAAGCTGTGATGGGAACCACAGCGGAGCATGTGGCTGGCACTGCTCCTGCTGCTCCCGCCACCTCCCAGCTCCAGTGTCACCCCAGAGAGCAGGGAACCCACCTGACCAGGGGGAATTCTGAGCTGGCTGCCCCGGAGAGGGAAGGGGACCACAGGGTACATCTCCAGGATATCCCAGCATAACCCACCCCCAGGCACGGGGCACAGGACACACCACGTCCCCAGAGCCAGTGCCCCCAGGCACAGCTGCCTCCCAGCCAGCAGGCACCAGAATCCTGCCCAAAGTCCCAGGACAGATCCACAGCCCCTCGGACAGAGCCGGGCCAGCACGAGCAGCCAGGCGTGCGTTTTCCTGAGCATCCCAAAACCTGCTGGGAGACAGCACAGGGCAGTAGGAACAGAGCCCATCTCCAGTGGGACACAGCACAGGGCAGCAGGAATGGATCCTGTCTCCAGTGGGACACAGCACAGGGGCAGCAGCATCCCCAGACCTCCAGTGTCCCCAAACCCCTGGTGTCCATCCTCGAATCTCCAGTGTCCATTCACAGACCTCTGCTGTCTGTTCCCAGCCGTCTGGGGTCCAACCTCAAACCTCCAGGGTGTGTGTCTCCAGACCCCCAGTGTCCACTCTGACTTCCAGTGTCTGTCCCCAGACCTCTGGGGTCCATCCCCAAACCTCCAGGGTCCGTCCCAGCCCCTCGGTGTCCCCAGCCCTGTCCCCACGGCTGCCTCAAGCTCCGGGTGCAGGGACACCCCGGGTAAAACTCTCGCCCTAAAGGCAGCAGTAGGAGGGGAATGGAGGGGTCACCTGTGACCCCCAGAAACACCTGTACTCGGGCACGCGGCTTTGGGGGGTCTGGGGGCACGGCAGGTACCGGGTTGGGGCGGGACAGACACCAGGAAGGGACATGGGGACCGGGACCGAGCCCGACCTTCGCTCTCCGGGACTCCACCGACAACACACGTGGGGACCCGGCACGGAGGGACGGGCGGAACCCCATTCCGGGACCCCGGAGGGGCCGAGGGATCCCACCCCGCCGCTCCGTCCCGGCACGGGGGGGCTCCGTCCGCGGGGACAGCCCGGGAAGAGGAAGGAGCGGAGCACGTGGGGCACCCGCCGCTGTCCCGTGTCCCCGCGGGGCCGCCGCTCACGGCGCCGGGAACCCCGAGCTCCCCCGGGGGTCTGGGGGGCTTCGGTGGGGCAGCGGACCGGGACCACCGACCCAGCCCCCCGCGGGACCCAAAGCCCGTCCTGCCCCTTCCCCGCAGCCGGGACGGCCCCGGGACGGCGGGACCGCACAGCCCCCGGCCCCGGCACGGGGAGGGGGCCCGGGCGTGCCCGCTCCAGCAGCCCCGGCCCGCGGGGGTCCCGGGGCCGCCGGGGGGAGCGGGACAGCAGCGGCCGCCGCCGGGGGGGGCCCGGGGGCGCTGCCCGGCCGTTGGGGGGCCCGGGCACCGGGACGGGAGGCGGGGAGCGGAGGGGAGTCCCGGAGGGAGCTGCGGGATCTGGGGCGGCCCCGAGCACCGGCGGGGCCGCGGCCCCGCGGAGCGGCGGCGAGCAGAGCCCTTACCATCTTGACGATGCCGCGCTGCACGGTGAGCGGCGCGGAGCCGGCCTGTCCGGAGCTGGCCGCGGAGGCCATGTGGCGGCCGGGCGGGGTCGGGCTGGCGGGGTCGCTCACTCGGTCTGTGCCGGTCGGACCGGGCGGGGGGAGCGCCGGGCCCGGGGCGAGCGCGGAAGGGACCGCGGGGCGGAGCCTCGGTGGGCGGGGCCTCAGTGCGACCCCGCCCCGCGCGCGGCCCCCGGCCAACGGGCGGCCGCCCCCACTGCGCGCGCGGCCCCGCCCCCCCGGGCCTCGGCCAATGGCGGCTCGCGGGGCCCGCGAGGCGAGGGGCGGTGGGGCGGGGTGACGTCACGGCCCTCGGCCACGCCCCCCCGGAGCGAGGGAGGGGGCGGGACTTCCGGGGCGCGCGGCGCCAGGGACACGTCGGCAAAGGGACCGCGCGCGCACGTGGCCTCGCGCCGGGGGCGGGGCCTGAGCGACGCGCCCACTGATGTCACCAATGGGCGGGGTCTCGTGGGGAGCACGCCCCCTGACGTCATCGCTGGGCACGGGGGGGCGCGGGATGGGGGTAAACGGGGGGATCCCAGAGCGGTCCCCGGGGAACCGGGGCATGGGGGGCGGGCAGAACACTCCCGGGGGGGGGTCCAGGGCCCCCTGGCACGGCCTCATGGGGGTTCGCGGTAAGGGGGACCCCCCAGTGCAGCCCCACAGAGCGACCGGGGGAAGGGGAATCCCCAGCACAGCTTCGTGGGGGCGGTCCGGGAAAGGGGTTCCCCCAGAAGAGCCCCACGGAGGGTCAGCGGAAGGAGACACCCCCACACCCCCACATGGCGGGACTGGGGTCCCCCAGCGTCACTCCATGGGGGTTCAGGAGTGAGGGGTCCCCAGTGCTGGGGGGGGCTCACAGTGTTCCCCAACGACTCCCGCAGTGTCCCCCGCAGTGCCCCGGCAGAGCCACGGGGCCACCGCGGGCTCCCGGCCCCGCTCCCGGCCGGACACGGTGGATTTGAGGGGAAAAGGGAGGAGAAAGGGACCCCTCTCCTTTGGGCAGTTCGGGGGGCAGTGTGGGAACGGGCCCTGCTGCCCCGCGGGTCGCACCCGTCCTGCGCCCACACCCCAAAACCGGCCCGCGGACACCCGCAGCCCCCGGGGACAGCGGGGACACGGGCAGTGCCTGACGAGGTCCGGCCCGGTGGCCCCCACCACCCCGGGTCCCCCACGGTCCCCGTGTCCTGGCAGCGGGGACTCAGAGCCCGGGATGTCCTTCCCCTGGGGACACCGGCACGGTGTGACCGCCCCTCTCCCGGACAGGGCTGTGGGTCCCAACCTCCCGGTTTTGGCTGACCCCAGCCCCCCATTCGGGAGCGCGGGGTCCCGGGGGGCAGCGCGGGGCGGGGCCCGGGGGTCAGTGCCCCGTGTCACCGGCTGGGGGGGGACCCGCGGCCCGACCCCCTGCCCCGCTCGGGAGGCGCTCCGGGGATGCTCCGGGTGCCTTCCCGGCTGGAGCCGCGGGTGGCACAGAACGAATATCCCCGATTTGAGCGGTCACGGTGGGGATCCAGGGAATGGCAGCGCTGCTATTCCCGCGCCGGGAGCGGGAACAGAGCGGCACCGGAGCCGCGAGTCGGGCTGGCACGGGGGTCCCCCAGGGCAGCCAGACCCCGCTGCACCGCGTGCTGAAGCCCCCCGAGTGCGAGCCCACCCTGGAGGGAGCCCGCCCGCGCTCCCTGCCCGCTCCAGCCTCGGGAACAGGGATGCTCTGGCACGTGTGGCACGGACCCCACTGCCGGGGTGCCCTGTCCGGGCACGGCTGCCACGGCGGGGGAGGCAGGAGGGTCTGTCCGTCCTGGCATTGCCCCCCGCACACACATCCTGACCCCCCGAGAAGGGGCTCTGCGGGGGAGGCGGGTCCTGCACGTCCGGAACATCCCCGGGAATCTGCCCCGCTGGCGTCTCCCACCTGCTCAGGGCACATTTTGGCTCCTAATGGTTTTCTTTCCATGTTTCTGATGTTTTTCCATGTTTGTGATGTTTTTCCACGCGTGTTCATTCCAGGGTTTGTCTCCTGCACTCAGAGCCCGGTGCAGCTTTCAACCCCTTTTCCAGCGTGTCCCGGGGGTCCCGCTCCGGGATTTCGCCCCGACACTGCCCTGCCCGTGCCAAAGTCTCCCAGTCCGTGAGGAATTCTCTTCCCGCTCGCTCCCCACCTGCCGCAACCTTCCACCATTTCTAATTTCCCTGCTCCAGCCTTTTTGGTGATGATTTATTCATCTCTTTGTTTTCTCCCCTTTTCTAATACTTTGCCCCATGACTCGGGGCAGGAAATCAACTCCTCTGCCCAAAAACCTGGAAAAGTGGCTCCATTATCCTGATTTATGGAATGTCAGGCCCCGCTCCTCACCATGTCACTGTCCTGGCTTGAACCTGCATCCCACCAGAGATGATGCTCCTGCTCCGGAGAGGGCACCTTCAAGCCCCCAAATTGCCTCTTTTACCCAGAATATTTTAATAATTGTCGGTTTGATGGAAAAGAAAGTGAAAATGTGGGTGGGAACGCGGGATAAAGTGGGTTTTCTTGGTCGGCTGAGTCATTGGGGCTTTTAACTTCCACGTGTGCTCTCTGGAGGAGAAAAGAACGGGATTTTTCCAGCCATCCCTGTGCTCCATGAGGAACAAGGTCACCTAGTGCAGGGAGAAAGCCCAGAAAGGTGCAAAACAGCCCCAGCGTGTGGAAAGGAGAGACAAAGAGGACAGAAATCATGGAATCATGGAATGGGTTGGGTGGAAAGGGACCTTAAAGCCCATCCAGTGCCACCCCCTGTCATGGGCAGGGACACCTTCCACTATTCCACGTTGCTCCAAGTCCCATCCAACCTGCCCTTGGACACTTCCAGGGACAGGAATCTCCTCCTGGAAACACCAAGTGGCTCAAGGTCCCCCATGACCCAACCATCCCCAGGGAGCTGCCCTTCACCCCTCTGACCCAGCCATCCCCAGGGAGCTGCCCTTGACCCAACCATCCCCAGGGAGCTGCCCTTCACCCCTCTGCCCTCCCAGCCGTGTCCTGGGGCCAGCACGGAGCTGGTTCTGAGCCGGGAAGGGGAGGGGGAAAACCAGTGACTGAGTGTGGAGCACTGAACGACGTGGCCTCCTCTGGGCAGGGATGGGGATTCCCAGAGCTGGTTATCCCGACATCCATCCCCGTGCACAGCCTTGTGACAGCACTGGCTGTCACAGGGCTTCGTCCCTTCCACCCGGAGGCAGATATCCCATGTGGGATGGGGGCTCTGCCACTCCCGTTCCCATCAGGGGCATCCAGGGAATGAGGCCACTTGCTGAATTCTGGCCAAAATCCCAGGTACGAGCAGCAGCACTTTGGTGGCAAGTGACCACCCTGCTGCTAAAAGCCTCCTGGAATAATGGCATTCCCTCTTCTGCTCCTTCCATGTCCCTGTTCCATCCCCTACATGTCCCTGTTCCCGTGCTTTTCTGTGTCCCTGTTCCACTCCCTCCATGTTCCTGTGCCCATCCATGTCCCTCTTCCCGGGCCCCTCCATGTCCCTGTTCCCTCCATGTCCCTGTTCCTGGGCCCCTCCATGTCCCTGTCCCTGTTCCCTCCATGTCCCTGTTCCTGGGCCCCTCCATGTCCCTGTTCCCTCCATGTCCCTGTTCCCTCCATGTCCCTGTTCCTGGGCCCCTCCATGTCCCTGTTCCCTCCATGTCCCATTCCCAAGAGTGCTGCTGTCACTCCTAATGACTGTGAGCTCTGCCAGGTCCTGCCCGACCCTCTCCTGCTGTGCCCACCCTGTCCCAGCCCCAGCACTCCCACCACCAATAAAATTCCTGCAGAAGCTCTTCCCTGAGGAGCGGGGGAAGGCGGATGGAAGCACGGAACACAGCCGGCACGGTGGGTCCTGGTGCTTCCCTCCACCTCTCCACAGCTCTGTCTCCGTCTCTCCAGGTCTCCAAATCTGACTCCAGCTCTCCATTTTCCCCCTCTCCGTCACTCCACATTTTCATATCTTCACGTCCCCATCTCTGTGTGTCCATAGTTCTGTCTCTATTTCTCCGTCTCCGCCTCTCCATCTCTCCACTTCACCGTCTCTCCATCTCTGTGTTTTCTCCTCTACGTGTCTCCACGACTACATCTCTCCACCTCTGCACATCTATCTCCATATCTTCATCTCTGCATCCCTCCTCCTCTCCACACCTCCGTGTCTCCATCTTTCCACTTGCCCATCCCTCCACTTCTCCACCTTTCCATCTCTCCTCCTCTCCACCTCTCCACAGCTTCACCTCTCCACATCTCCACATCTGTCACCCCCTCTCCTCCTCTCTGTCTCTCCATGCCTCCACATCTCCAGCTCTCCATTTCACCATCTCTCCATCTGTCTTTCCACCTCTTCAGGTCTCCACAACTCCACCTTTTCTCCATCTTTTCACTTCTCCACGTCTCCATAAACCCACCTCTCCATGTCTCCACATCTCCATATCTCCTCTTCCCACTTTTCCACCTCCCTGTCTCTTCACGACTCCATCTCTCCACGTCTCCCCCTCTCCATTTCATCATCTCTCCGTCTCTCGGTCTTTCCATCTCTCCATGTCTGCATCTCTCCATCCCTCCATCCACCCCTGCACTTCTCCACGTCTCCAGGTCTCCACCTCTCCCCTTCCCGTCTCTCCCCGTTCGCGTCCCTCCCGCTCCTCTCCCCGCTCCTTTCCCCGCTCCCCGTGGCCGCCGCAGCCGCCGCGCCCGAGCCGCGCCGCGGACGCACCGCGCGGAGTCCTCCGTTCGCCCCTCTCCGCGGGCCCGCGGGGCTCCCCCGGCCTCCCCGAGCTCCGGGTGGCTTCGGGGGCTCCTCCCGCCGCCGGGGCCCGGGCGGGGCGGTCCGGGAGCCGGGAAGCGCCGGCCGGAGCTGTGCGCTCCGTAGCCCGGCGCACCCGATCCCAGCGCGCACGGCCCCGGGAGGAGCCCCGCCGCTCCCGGCCCGGCCCGGAGCCCCCCGCGCCGCCCCCCGCCCGTGCCCGGGGGCAGCGGGGCAGCGGCAGCCCCGGCCCCCCCCGCCCGGTGTGGAGCCCCGCGCCCCGCTCCCCCTCGCCGCGTTACGCGCGGGGCTCGCCCGGCCCGGGGGGCTCCGCGGGGCTCCCCGACACGTCCCCGTTCACGGGGGGGGCTCGGGC